AAGGATTAACTTTTCCCTGTCATAAATTACGGTTAATGGTGTAGGTACTTGAGAGAATTAAATTATAAACACCCTCCTTAAACCAACAAATTTTGCTAAATATCCTTTCAGGCAGTTAGTTGTATTAATATCTTCAAAGGACCCCGCAATAATCTTATGGAAATTGGGTTTCTGTCAAATTATCTGAATTTTTGATACGTTGTAGATTTTGTCATTCTGAACAAAAGTCTCCATGGGTACAAAGTGCCAAAATTAATATTTTGGCAGCTACGGAGCTACCAAAGCTCCCCTTTCCCGTTGCAAAACTATTCATTTTCAATACTATTTACAGATGTCAAAAGCATATTTTAATTATTCTAATATATAGGGTAATGTTTTTGAGGTCACTGGATTCAACCCTCATGTCAGATTAGACAAATTGACAGCTGTCAATTGACTGTCAACGAGGAATATAAAAGTAAATATCCTCTTTTTACATTGAGAGTTTGGGTCTTTGAGGTCGCTGAATTCAATTCTCATGTCAGATTGGACAAATTGACCATTAACAGCTATCAATTCACGGTCAACGAGGAATAGCTGTCAACTGCCAACTTGTCCAATCTCACATGAAAATTTAATTCAGCGACCTCAAAAATCCCAACTCTCAATGTGAAAAGAGGATATTTACTTTTATATCCCACGTTGACCGTGAATTGACAGCTGTCAACATTCAATTTGTCCAATCTGACATAAGGATTGAATCCAGTGACCTTAAAAACATTACCCTATATATTAGAATAATTAAAATTTGCTTTTGACATCTGTAAATAGTATTGAAAATGAATAGTTTTGCAACCGGTCAGGGGAGCTTTGGCAGCTCCGTAGATGCCAAAATATTCATTTTGGCACTTTGTGCCCATGGATACTTCTGTTCAGGATGACAAAATCTACAACATATCAAAAATTTAGACAATTTGACAGAAACCCAATTTTCATAAGATTATTGCAAGGTCCTTTCTAAATGACTCAGTTTACTTTCAACTTCATTTCAATCTTTATTGTTGTGTTGTGTTAACCAGTGGGAAAAATGGCAAAATTAATTGAGTCGTGGCTAAAATCTTATTCAGATTTTGTTGTAGAAGGTGATAACCAGGTGTTTTGTAAAACATGTTCTAAAATTGTAAGTAATTTTTTATTTTATATTTTATTTTGACCTTTCACAATGGTAAATCAAACGACCGTAAAATATTATTTCAACTCACACTTAAAAAAAAAGTAGGGCAACTTTATAACGTACGCATTTATTTAATTTAATTAAAACTTCAACATCTACAGGAATTTATTTGTTTTAGATTCCATGTAAAAAAAAGTTTCAAATCGACCAACACGCGAAAACCCCCTTACATATAGCAAAGCAGAAATCTAAAGACACTCGCAAACAAACTTCCCTTGAAACAATATTTAGAATCTGGATCGTCTAGAAGTGAACAAGCTATTTTTAATGAAGATTTATGCAAAGCTTTAGTGACTTCGAATATTGTTACGAGTTTTATTCTACCTAAATCTATTCCAGTCTAAAATACCCTAATTTACACTATTCTAACTTATTCTATTTGCTAGCCTATCTTATTCTAAGCTACTCTAAACTAAACTAGACTAAACTACACTATTCTAAATTATTCTACGCTTAACTATTTACATTATTCTACTTCTAAACTATTCTACGCTTAACTATGTACACTATTCTACTTCTATTTGATTCTAATTTACCCTAAGCTACTCTAATTACTAAACTACCCTATTACTTACCTATTCTACTATAACCTATGCTAATCTCTTTAGTTATCTTTAGATTTAAGATTGTACGGGTATATAAATCCAGAGTATAAATTCATAAAATATCCATTTTATCAAACAGTAATTTGCATTAAAATATAATCTCACCTGGGTTATTATCAGTAGTAATACTATAAGTACTTCAAAATAATCAGGTTATACATCGATAACTTGTTGCATAATTATAAAGAGTGTCAGTTTGACAGTTTAAATATTATTATTATTATTCTGTCAAACTGACACGATTTGTAATTATGCAGGAAGTTTGAGATGTATAACCGTATTTATTTTGAAGTACGTATTGTATTTGATACGATTATTTTTTGAGTAAATTAAGTAAATATCAACAATTTATTAATTCGACTCATTTTAAAATAATTATTGATAAACGTCAAAATTTGACGGTCCTGTTAGTGTATTGTTGTCGATGTGGTTACTACGGAAATGAAATTATTCTAAATATTTTTGATTGGTGGAGCTACTCTATGTATAATCAGGTATTATCCAAATTATATGAGGTAACTTAACTAAATTGAACGTTCTAATTGGTTAAAAATTATACAAAAAAAATAATCAATAGTATTTAGTGCATTCAATAAATAATAATTTATAGTCTAAGTAAATATATTTTGCTACTTCGAGTAATGACTACAGATCTTTTAAATATTAAACAACTTTAATTTGATTTGTTATTGTTTTCATGTCTAATTTGACCCCTTCAATTGTCAAATTCTTCTAAAAATTGTAAATAGTGACCACAGTCTTACCAGAAATTATCCTATTACCCTTTTGTAGTCAGGGCCTTCTTGCTAAGACATTGACTTTTGTTAGCCATTTTGTGGAACTTCCTTCCTTGTGATTCGTACACCTAGTGGTGGATATAGTATCGGGCTAAAAGTGTGAATTTAATTATTAATAATCTAAAAGGTCACATACCATCAAGGACCTCCTTGGTTCGCCCCTTTCATTCATGCGTTCCTTCCCATCTACTAACGAGATTAGGTTGTTTGAGACTCAGCCTACAACAAACAGAGTTAAATACCTGATTAAATACTCGATTTCTTTTGTATATACACTTATTAATTGTAATATCCACCTACCGGGTTTTCTTCTGTAATACGAAGAGTACTCTACGTAACCGCAATTTTACCACCCACTTGGAGGGTTATATAATATAAGGGTATGTAAGTTAAAGGTAAGAATAGTTGTGGGAACGCCTTGTACATAATAATTTTCTTTTGTTCCTAATAATAGTCCACATTTCGTATATCTGTAATTTGTTGGTTATCATTTCAATTTTGACAACAAGAGGTTATAAGATAATAAAGGCCCGTTCACATTCTATCAATCATTTTCTTCTCTCTATTTACAGGAACCCGACCCTGAGGTTACTAGTCAACCTGATTAGGGGAGTTCGATAATTTGAACCCCTTTATCAGGCTACCTGTAATAATATCCCTTTAATACGATCATTTTTGCAAAAATACTGTAAATTTAATATTCCAGAGCAAAGTATATTAGGCAAACGTGATGTTGACAGTTTGTACATTGAGACTTGTGAAAAAATTCGTGAAAACCATTTCTACATTATTGTGGATGAAACAAAACACTCTTGTGGTCGATATATAGCCCATTTAATGATAGGTTCAATACGCGAAGAAATGCAAATTGGTCCATATCTAATCGCTTCAAAGCAATTAAATAAAACAAATAACTTGACAATAACTCGTTTTATCCAAACAGAATTGTCTTCCTTTTTTCTTCTGGAAGCCGTTCCAACAGAAAAATGTTTATTGCTATTATCCGATGCTGCCCCGTACATGGTAAAAGCCGCACAAAATTTAAAAATGTTTTATGAAAACTTAATCCATGTTACATGTTTGGCTCATGGACTTAGGTCTAACTTTCCTTTAATAAGTGATTTAATTAGTAATGTAAAAGAAATATTTCTTAAAGCTCCTCTAAGAACTCGATTGTACAAAGAAAAATTTCCTGAATTACAGATGCCACCGGAACCTGTGATTAATCGGTGGGGTACCTGGCTTGAAGCTGCCTTTTTTTACGCAGACAATTATGAAAAAATTAAAGAAATCATATTTGATTTTGATGATTCGTCTAAGGGAATATCTAATACAAAGAAGTTGTTTCATAATCACATATTACCAAAGCAATTAGTGTTTTTAAAAAATTATGCATTTGTACCCAAAATTATATTGGATTTAGAACAAAAAAAATGTACCTTTGGTGACTTCCGTAAATTTAATTAAGACGTTTGAATCAAAGTGTAAAAATGTCCAGGGCGATATTGAAAAGACGATTTTTCATAAATTTTCAAATGTAATTTTAAAAAATGAAGGATTTGTTGTTTTAAGAAACCTTGCAAATATTTATTCTGGTAACTTTGAAGATATTAATACTATTCATCCAGATATTTCAGGAAAATGTAAGTTTGCACCTATTACTTCTGTAGATGTCGAAAGGAGTTTTTCTTTGTACAAGTACATACTTACTGATAGGAGACAATCATTTAATACAGATAATTCAGAAAAACATCTAATTGTTTATTAGTTTTATAATAATGTTGATTTGTAAATAAAATTAGTTAATAATTAAATAATTATTAAGTATTATATTAGGTATTGTAAAATAAAACAAATAATAAATATTAATAAACTATTTCGATCAAATAACAAATTACTCTTATTGCATATGCTCTGCATATTTTTCAATTTTTCTAATAATAAATATGTTTTATTTAATTTTATATTAATATATAGACTATAAATGTGTTCCTAAAATATAAGCAATAGTTCCTGGACTATAAATAAAGATTCAATTTACAAATAGGTGTTTCATTGTTAACAATAAAACTTAAAATTAAGATACGTAACTATAAATAATATTACCAAAAAATACAAACAAATAATAATGAATGTACAACTCAAATGAATCTATGAACCTACTAACGATATTAATAATACTAATAATGCTGTAATAACGACTAGAATCGAACTTTATGGAAACATGCACCATTTAATTACAGTCACAATATCTGAATTGCATCCTTGTGAATAAATACTTAAGAGTCCGATTCTGCTAACAGTCCCCACCATAATGACAATTCAATAAAAATGTATCATCATCTAAAGCTCGTCGTTCCTCGATAATTTCATTCATTTTTAATACTTTAATCCTTCGTCCTGGCATGACAAGTTGCAATTGTTATTTTTCTTAAGACAATACCTACTAGTATAATTTAGAATTTTTATAATGCAACTGGGTATAAAGTTGTTGATAGGTGGTGCTGTTTTGTTTGTGGGAAACTTGATAGTAGGATTTCTTGGATTTCAACCTATGGTGAATTATATGGTGAAAGATGTAAGTGTGAATTAAAATATTTTTTAAATTTAAAGATTTTTGTTCATTTCAATTGTTTTCTACACTCTTTATTCCATCTTTTATTAATGCCTTACATTTGTTCCTTTTTTTTTTAATTCATCTTCATCAGCTGCTAAGGTTATTAGCCTATTGTTGTTTGTAAGCTTTATTACTTTTTCCCAGCGCTACTTCAGGAAAAGCGCTGTTAATTAGAACCCTATTATTGCTAAAATAGAAGTGTCATCAGCAGACGTAGCTATTTTGACATTAATCGTTTCTGATATATCGTAAGTACATAATATATAGAAAACAGGACCAATGAAGCTTCCTTGTGGTACTCCTACTTTAGTTTCTTTTAACACAGAGTATTGCTCTTCTTATTATTTTCCATTCTAGCAGTTGTACACATTACTTTGAAAGCATTTATGACAATTTGTTTTATAAGTTCTTTATGCGACATGTTAACACACTTCTTCGCGATGTCAAGAAACAATGTAGACCATATTTCATTAAATTTCTAATCCTGTGAACTTTTATTTTATTTTCTATGATCACTTTTAGAGTCTTTAATAGCAGCTTTTCAAAATGTTTTGATATTACTGGCAATAGAGAAATATATCTATATGATTAAGGTTTACTTGGCGGTTTCCCAGGTTTCAAGTTCATACAGATTAAGCAATTTTCCATCATTCTAGAAAATGCATTCATCAGTTTTGGAGAGTTTATTTAGTAATGGAATCGTATCGAGGAGTCTATTTAGGTTGTTATACACTGGCAGAAAATAATATTTCCTTTCAAGCCATAGCTCTAAGCAATAACTAGTTTAAAATTAATACTAAACAAGAAGACTTCAAAAATGTCATATCAACCTTGAATGCCAAAGAAATAAATTGGCATTCCTATGAAGTTAAACAAAACTGAGACATTAAAGTAATGGTTAGAGGTCTACCATCTACATCTAAACCAGAAGATATTGTTGAAGACTTGCAAAGTCATACTGCATACTGCGAAATGAAAGAAATTAAAGCAGGTGTCCCACAAGACAGTGTGCTAGGACCGGTTCTTTACTTATTATACACCATCGATATCCCTTCAACAACAATCTGTTAAAATAGCAACATTTTCGGATGACACTGCAATATTGGCAGTTGGCGGAACTAATACAGAGACCTCAGAAAAACTTCAGGAGACCTGCAACAGAATCAATCGATGGACAAAAAAGTGGAAAATAAAAATAAATCAAACTAAATAAGTGCATGTTGATTTTACTCTTCGACCAAATGAACAAAAACAAATAAGAATAAACAATGACGTTATTCCGCATTACGATTCGGCTAAATACCTACGGATCAACCTACATGTAAGACTTAAATGGAAAGACCACATAAAGAAAAAGCGTAAAGAACTTGAACTTAAATTTAAAAAATTGTATTGGCTCCTAGAAAGAAAATCCAAATTGTCAGTGCACAACAAACTGCTGATTTATAAAGAAATCCTAAAACCAATCTGGATTTATGGCATACAGCTATGGGGATGTGGCAGCAAGAGTAATATCAACATGATACAAGTTTTCCAAAATAAAGTCCTAAGATGCATTGTTGATACACCTTGGTTCTACCGAAACGATTATTTTCATAGAGACCTGAAGATGCCAACAATCGAAGAAGAAATAAAGAGGTTTGCTGCAAAACATGAGGGTCGACTCCACTCCCACGTCAACGAAGAAGCGCTGCAATTACTGGACAACTCTACACTCAACAGAAGGCTCAAAAGAAAGAATCCATTTGAGCTAGTGCAGTGAACTTTAATGTTAGTGCTAGTGTAAAACAGTGTAATAAATCGTCACACCAACTTGTGATGCTTTCCTATAGAAAAAATTAAGACAGCCTAATGGGGACTTCTTAGATAAGTAATTAGTTATAAGATTTTTAGATTAAAATTGTAGGTTAGTCAGTAATGACTAGTAACAACACTCTAACAAAACAAAAAAAGGTTGATGTTTGATCTTTTCCTCTAGTAACTTCTTTTGAGGTAAAAAGTTTTATATCCTCTTCTATTTATGTCTCCTCTAAATCATTTTTTATATCTAATTCGTTAGATGGAAAGATTTTGACAGATGTTCTGCAAAAATATTGTCTTCCTGTTTGCTATCTTTATCCCATCCTCTTTCTCTTTTTCATAAGAATGGAATTTGACTGATTGGTCTCTTTAATAACCTAGACATTAGACAATAATATTATTTTTTTTGATAATACCAATTAAAAGAAGAACCCAAAATTCATATATCCGAAACCTGATGACTGACGAATCCATATTTTAAGAGGCCCTGGAAGAAAAGATAGGTTTCAAGCTATTTGACCAGTTCCAAAATATAAAGGCAGAACAGTTATATTTTGGAGCAGGATCGTGGCTACAGGAAACAACATCCTTAATCCATATGCTACAGGAAATAACTTCCTTAATCCCTATGCTACAAACTGATCATATACAGTGGCATTCATATTTAGTGCTACATCTCATAATACTTCTTTGGAGAGGTGTTTTTTCTTATACAGGATAATGCCAGATTATATAGGGTGGCCACTTTTTCATTGAAATGTATTGCTATCTCGTAAACCGTTGGTAACACAAAGTTGGTTAAATGGGGAAAAAGTTGCATATTTCGAAGTCCAATCTGAGGGCGTTTTGAAAACTAAAATATCAGGTCCGGTTTCCGAGATATTCGATAAAAAACAAATAAGTACCATTTCTTTATTCCGCTACAGAACGTTTATTTGCAAAAATAGACAAAAACTCATTTGGAGTTTTTTGTTTTATATCAAATTGTGCGTATGATAGCGTATTTAGTTTTTTTATCCGACGTTTCGTAAATGCAGGACCACCATCAACTTCTTTATTTGAATATGGACCAATATTTTCCTGGCTCATAATTTTAATGCATGTTCAATGTTGAATACAATGATGTAATAACATATTGTGATTAGTCAACATTTCGGAAGATTTGAACATCATCAGGTAAGTTTACAAGTACGGACCTGTGTTTTGTTAGTTAAAAATATTTGAATTAGTAAATGATGTATTATCGTTGTAAGAGATTATAAATAATAAATACCAAAGTCAAAATTTTAACTTTACATCAAGACAACATGTTCGTTTACACATTTGCTAAAAAATATTTTCCATTTTTATGGTTTTTGCACTTGACCAATCCCAATATTAATCTATAAATAAAGTACATCCCGATTTTTAAATACATAAAGTTAGCCTGATTTGTCATATTTTGTTGGATTTTTTAAACTGATATGGTTCCTCATAGTATAAAAAAGAAAAAGTTAACAAACTGCAGATAGATACCTACTTACAATAATAATTGTATATCTAGCAACACGTCTTGATTATTATACAGATAAATTTAAATCAAGTTAACCTGGCATGTCACATTTTATTATTGTATATTTGACAGTCTGGTATCGGATAAAAGCATTGGTATATTTTTAATTAGGGTATTGAAAATATGGTTCGTTACAGTAGAAGTGAGAAAAAAGATATGTACGATGTGTACATAAAATGTAACAGAAATAGTGGAGAAGCTGCAGAAAGATACCTTCAGTTGTATCCAGGAAGGAGGCAACCATCTTTATTAATTTATTATAGGATAGCGTTAAATATGGCTCAAGAAGGAAATATTGAAAAAAAAACGTGGTAAATATTTAAAACGTAATACAATAAATGAAATAAATGTTTTGTCTCAAGTTTATATCAACCCTGAAACGTCGTCTAGAGCAATAAGCCGAGAATGTGGAGTTTCTGCAAGTACTGTGAAAAACATTCTTAAAAAACATAAGTACCATGATTACAAATTCCAAACTGTACAAAAGCTACATCCTGGAGATTATAATCGTAGAATAGAATTTTGCCGTTGGTATAAACGAAAATTAAATAATGATGTATCCTTTCATGGACGAATTTTATGGACAGATGAATCGACATTTACTAATAGTGGAATATTTAATAGAAAAAATAAACATTTTTATGCCACCGACAACCCATATTTAATTCAAGAAGTAAGACCCCAAATTAGATTTTCAATAAACTTATGGTGTGGAATACTCAATAATAAAATAATTGGTCCTATTTTTATTGACGGAAACCTCAACCAACACAACTATTTACAATTGCTAGAAGATATGTTAGATAATCTTCCTTTAGGTGATCGAAGAAATATTTATTTTATGCAAGATGGCTGTGGGCCACATAATGCTGCATTAATCAGAAATTATTTAAACGAAAGATTTCCCAAGAGGTGGTTTGGTACACATGGACCTATTCGATGGCCCCCTAGGTCACCCTGCTTAAATCCTATGGATTATTTTGTATGGGGATATATCAAAAATAAAGTATATTATGATGGTATTCCAAATGACTTAAATCAATTACGAGATAGGATAATTAATGCGTTTAATAATATCACTCCACAAATGGTTTCTGCCAGCATAGCTCAAATGACAGACCGTATTGACTTATGTATTCAAGAAGAAGGAGGACATTTTGAGCAACTACTGTAGTTTTTCTCTTATCGTTAATCATTGTTTTCATTTATTTATTTCTGACGTGATTAAGTAGTTAAATACATATTTTTTTTTATTAAATTATTTTAAGCATTTAAAATGTAGTTGTGTATTTCAAATAATTTATAATACAGGTCTGTACAAGTAAACGTACCTGATTTCTTACACTGATAATACATCATTTACTAATTCAAATATTTTTAACTAACAAAACACAGGTCCGTACTTGTAAACTTACCTGATGATGTTCAAATCTTCCGAAATGTTGACTAATCACAATATGTTATTACATCATTGTATTCAACATTGAACATGCATTAAAATTATGAGCCAGGAAAATATTGTTCCATATTCAAATAAAGAAGTTGATGGTGGTCCTGCATTTACGAAACGTCGGATAAAAAAACTAAATACTCTATCATACGCACAATTTGATATAAAACAAAAAACTCCAAATGAGTTTTTGTCTATTTTTGCAAATAAACGTTCTGTAGCGGAATAAAGAAATGGTACTTATTTGTTTTTTATCGAATATCTCGGAAACCGGACCCGATATTTTAGTTTTCAAAACGCCCTCAGATTGGACTTCGAAATATGCAACTTTTTCCCCATTTAACCAACTTTGTGTTACCAACGGTTTACGAGATAGCAATACATTTCAATGAAAAAGTGGCCACCCTGTATACTAGTAGAGTCGTCAAATATGGTATGAAGACGAAGGGTGTGAGAGTATTACATTGACCTGCGCGTTCCCCCTACTTTAAGAATTTGTGGAACGTGATAAAAAAGGGTTAGAGGTTGTCAGAACAACCCGAAAAACAGAAGTAGTTCTTGAAGAAACTGATAATCTTATAATAAGAATTATAATTTGTATATCACCTACTCATCAACAGTAGAACATAAAATTATTAATAATTACTCTCAAGATAATTTATGTATAAATTGTATTATTTTTAGATAAAACCTTGAAACAATTATTTAATTCATAAAAAATTCTGAGAAATTTATACTATGACATATTTCAAAACAACAAAATACAGTACAATAACTTTTTTTGATTGTTTTTTCTTTGTCATTGCGGTTATTAAAACCATATATCATTACAGTTAAAATTATAGAAACGTTATTTTTACTTAGTGTATCATTATTTATTATTTAATATGTTTGTAAATGATCCAAATGTTTATTAGTATTATAACGCATATATTAACATTTTGAAAAGGAAAGTTAGATGGTATTATTTTTTCAATTAAGAGCCAGTACATCCCTGAAATAGGCTCAAAGAACTTGTTATTTTTTTGCTCTCTGTTCAATAATTTATAACCCTTTTTTTCTGGAAAACATTACTGAATATTTTACATCTTTTCTAGAATGACGTATAATGTGTGACGTATTGAAAAAGTAAGCAAAAATAGATTTTTAAATTATTTCCAATTAAATTAATTCGCTATTTTTAGGTTATTATATCGCTTCTCCGGAAGAACAATGATGTAAGTGCATGTTTTACTTTTAAGGCCTATAAATCTTCAATTGTTTCAAAAAGAATAAAATTAAGTTATTCTTCCTAAAACTAAAATAAATTTGCCATCGATTATTTCCAAACTTTTCCTTAAAGTCTTAGTTTTAAGTTTCATATTGCAATTTTTTTTAATTTGTTATTTCTATGGAATCATTAATTTTTACTTGCGTCATTGTTCTTCTGGAGAAGCGATATATTATCAGTTCTAATACTATATGTTTGATATGTATAACTGTTGTTATTATTTTGAAGTACGAGTTGTTTTTGATATCATAACAGAATTGAGCAGACTAGATTTTCCAGCTGAAAAGTGGAGGAAAAACCGCCCTGGCGACGAAATCAGCAATCGCTGAAAAAGACATGATCACCTCCGCTGCAAAAAAGATTAAAGGCGTAGCTGAATAGGTAACCTCAGACCAACTGTTGCCAATACTCTTAAGGAGAGGAGGAACTTTGCTATTGAGATGAATTTGAGTATTAATACATGTGAGATTTGGTTTATTAAACTCTCTGTGTATCTCAAGGTCTTCAAGCAGATTTAAAGCAGGTTTAAAGTTTCAATTAAAAATATTATGAAGAACAGTAACATTCTTAGAATAGGATTGGAAGGGTCGCTATAGGCATTGAGACATTTCCTTAGTGCAGTGGCGACAGAAGGGGGCACAATAGATCTTTTAGTGTAGTGTATTAACACCCCATTATCAACATAACATAACATTCTTAGAAGGAGTGAAGTTATGATTGTTGAATTTATTATGATGTCCAAAAGTGGATCTAATGTGTTCACCAGCTCATATGTTGAGTCTTTTCTTAGTTTTTTCTATATAAGACGTATTACAATCGTTACAGATTAGTCTATAGATACCACTTTTGTGTAGTAACTCGGTTTCATCCTTATGTGATAGCTGGCTTTTAATCGAATTAACATTTTTAAAAGGAATTTTAATATTGTTGCAATCCTTAAAAACTGCATCTACAATCTTTGGAAATTTTCCCAAGATATGGTAGTGAAAAGTATTTGAAATTAGCAGGAGGTTCATTAGTAGGATTAAAAGCAAGTTGGAAAGATTGTAGTTATTATTAAAAGCTAATTGTTTTAAAACGTTGATTTCTTTATTAAAATTATGATTAGTATATTAAGTATATTAAGAAGACGATGAACATAACAGTATATGGCTGATAACTTGTGTTGATAAGAGTGATTAGAGTGGAAATTAATTAGATGGTCAGTTTGAGTTGGTTTCCTGTAGATATCAAATTCAAGTTTATTATCCAGACGACTGATAGAAAGGTCTAGGAAATTAAGTGATTTATTGACTTCAAGCTCAACTGTCAATTTGATTTTAGAATGGATATTGTTAATGAAAAATCATCAATCTCAGTAAAATTACAATTCATAATTGTAAAAATGTCATCAACATATCTGTACCAATTTCCAAGTGATCTAGAAATAAGTCTGCTAACAAAGGAGTTAGAGGATTACCCAATGCTTAGCCATTGGGTTGTCTATAGAATAGTTTATTAAAAATAAAGAAATCTTGGTCAAGACAGATTTTTAGTAAATCCAAGATAATATTAATTAAATGAAGGTTGAAGTTATTTTTAGTAAGAAGGTCCTTGATAATAGGAAAGGTGTCCTTTCTGGGAACGTTGGTGAATAAATTTCTAACATCAAAAGAAGCTAACTTAGCTTCAGAATTTAGATTTATATTTTTAATTTTGTTAACTAAATCAATTAAATTTAAAACAGTGTAATTGGGTATATAATTAAGATGAGAGTTAAGAAAGTTATTGAAAAATTTAGCAAAGGAAGATACATAATTGAAGGTCTCATTGGGATCTCTAACTTATGTATTTTAGGCAGGTCATACAAACGAGGCAAATAGGAATTTTTTAAAATGAAATTATTGACAGATAAAATGTCCTTTTCAGTGAAAAAGTTTTTATAGTAGATTTAAACAAGTTTATGAACTTCTGCAGAGGGTTGGAGTTCAAGGTTATAAAATCATTATTGTTAAGAAATTCTTTCACTTAAAGTATGTAGTTCTCTCTATGATAACTGAGCAATGTCCTTTGTCAGCCTTAGAGATAATGAGATTAACTGTCTTTAATGGATTTTAATAAATTAACTTGTTGTTTAATAAGTGTGTTTTTATGGGGTTCAATAGTGTTAAGGGATAAATATCTATTGAAAATGGAGATTCTTGGATAATTTTGTTTTCATTTTATCATAAACCATTTAATAAATCATAACTAAAATTATTTTTCATAAAATTGTCTCTCTTTATTAGTATTAGTTATAACCAAATGCTTTTTTATCAGATTTCCATTCTTACTTTGACGGCGAAGTAATTAAATTAATCTTAAATCAATTAAAATCAGCAATTTTCCAAATTTAAACATCTTTTGTAAATAATCTATCTAATTGTATTACTTTCTTTATCTTTTCAGCAAACAGCATTGAGAAAAAGAAACGAAATAAGAGGAATTTATTTGAAAATTCCTTTTCCTCTGGATTTCAGGATCTACTTTTTCAATGTGAGTAATCCGATGGAGGTTCAAAATGGCGCCAAACCGATTGTCACGCAAGTTGGACCATATTGTTATGAGTAAGACATTCTTATTTTTTGTGTAACTGTGTTTAAACTACTATTCTGATAATCCCTGTCGAAATAAAATGAAATAAAATATAATCTTACCACCAATGCAGTCTAATAAAATTGATATATCATTGTAAAGATTGAAATATATACCCATCCAAATATATAATGCCCTCAAAAAGAACAATATTTAGAGTTTCTGAGGTTTTTGGATATATATTCATCGTCGGAGATGACTGTTGTGACAGGCATACTCGCTGGGAGTCTAAGTTAACAACTAGAAGCTTTTAGAAGCTGTAAAATAACTAAAATATTAAAATCTACTGGAAAACCGTTCTAAAGTCCCAAAAACACACTTCTTCAAATCATGCATATTTAAAATCTCACTTGGAATATAAAAACTATAAAACCATTATCACAGAAGTAATTGATTTTTAGAGGTTCGAATGATAATAATAAATAATATTAAATTCTCATTTACTTAAAATTGTTATATAATAATAGAGAGCAATTTAAGCTTTCTGTTAATGATCAAATGCAAAACAGCTGTAAATAATGAATTGATATCGAGCGTGTCTTATGAATTTGAAACCCGATAATGACAACTTTGTATTCATACTGTTGCTTATTAAATTATAACCCGTAATCAATTTGTGGTTTGATATAAATTAGCGGGATTTAATGAAATGTTATTGGCATTTTTTAAATAATAGTTATAAGAAAAAAGAGTTGGGTTACCAACGTATTCTTTGGAATGACCTTCGAGTGCGTGTATAATTAGTAACTCAGCATATTTGATAAAAACAAATAATGACAAAATAACAATAAAATCTACTATAATATAATGATTTGATTAATTATTATCATTTTTTTATTTAACCTATTTATAGATAGATAGATAACAGACACTACTTACCCTGGATAAATCACGAATTTACTCAGGGTGAGTACTATAATGTCACGAAGCTTTGAGCTTAAGCTAGATCAAAGGTCACGCTACATCGAAAGGTGTCCGTCTTTTTGATTCACTAACCAAGAAATCACCTAATCAAAGGCATTTTGGACTAAGCCCTAACGACAAGCCTAATTAAAGAGCATTACCCTGTGAAGTGCAAGAAGAGATGGGATGAAACAAGAAGTTGCAGAGTTTCCAGGGAGCTGCTAAATTGAAAGATCGCCACTGTTTTAAGCCTGAAGAATACTGTTTCATAGTTGCGGTTGTTACCGAAGCTAACAAGACTTTAATTAATGCATCTGGTAACCCTTTTCGGCTGAAAGTCTCACAGACAATTGACCTGCCATCAACGTTAGAGACTTCCACATGGGATGAGGGATTCTATTGACAGAAAGTAATAGAGTTTTGCTAGGTTTAAATGTTACAGGTGGTGAAACGAGCAATTTCTGAAACAGAGAGGGAACCAAGGCTGGGAAGGCCACTGCGACACCACTATAATTCCCTCTGCCCCATCAGATATGATCTTTTGCAAAATCGAAGATATTGTCTATCATTTTCATAAATTTTTATTAGTAGATAGACTTCCTTCAGGTCAATTGACCCCATGTAGCAGTTGTTAGACATTAATTTTGTAGCTTCTGATATGTTTTCTATTTTAAAATGATTAACTAATAGAAACTGGTTTAATTTCTTACAATTGAGAATTAAACGTTTCTTACCATTTGGTGTAGACAATAAAAATATACTAGATAAAAATTAATAATTAGAAGGGCTACATTTTTTAATAGCTTTAATATTTATTAAATGTGTTAATTGAGAGGCTATTAATTTCTTCTCAGAAACCGACCAATTTTTGTATTTTGGAGACTGATTATGTCTTGGTTTATTATTAAAGGGTAATTTGCACCCATTAAACCATGAAAGGATTAACTTATCTTTACAATTTTTTTCCCATTGGGGTATGAACCTGCCCAACTGACCGGCTTCAAACCTTACTTGAGAAGTTAATATCTCATCATTCTTGATGATCCCCTCTTGGACCTGTCCCTCGGCTTTTGAGATGATATCCGGATTTGGCTACGTATTTCAGTGGAATGTTTCTTGCATATCTGTATGGAGTGTAGCCGCTCACACTTGGAAGACGTTTGGACGGCTGTTTGAAGTTTAAATGCTTCTTAAGTTTAGACATTTTTAGTTCGTCCCCAGATTTCTTCAAAGCCTTTGATGTCTTAACCCTGTCAGTCAAATTTTCCTAAATTAGAAAACCATCTGTAGCTTTAATTCCCGCCAAATCTTTTACTTCCTTGTCTAAATTTAAACTGATTAGGCTCTGTCTAACTAAAGTCTGTTCCCTAAAGAGATCAGCTACTAACTTAACTGCATCATTAATAGGTTCAATCAAGGATAATGGCGTATTTTCTTTATTTTCATCGATTAGGAAGGTAAGAGCTTTACCTAGTGCTGATATTGCTGCTGTTGAAATTACATTCAACATGTCCTATCTGCTAATCTAAATCAGCATTTAACAAACAAAAAGAATAAAATACCAAATAGACACTCCCTGTATAAACCAATTATCCAAAGTTGTGAAATAACAACCCGCCTAACTTTCAAATAACCTTCAAAGACACCTGCTACTTCGCAAACAATTAAAACTAAGTCCCACGAGATTTTTTCACCCAATCATTACTCTCGCGTGCAATCATACGATACTAGATAACCAATCAGAAGAAAGCCGGTAAACTGATGCAAGCTAACAAGTATCGCAGAACAAACAAAACACTTACTTTCGTTTTCTCAGTCAACGAAGCGACAAACACTTACAAAGCCGGCATTCGCCGTAAATGAATTTCAAGCATTGTGCGAGTTGATTTACTACAGTTAATATGTAATCGAACAATAAATTTATGTAACCAAGTAGTAAATGTGTAAAATGTGAAATCATCAAGCCGTGAATATATCAAATTCAAATATAGAACTTCAAGAATATCTCCCAGAGGCTACAGGGTGGAGCATAAGGCCTCCACCCCATAATATACTATGATACAGTCCACCATGATCGAAGGCAGTAGATGTCAAGCCCAATAAAGCTAGGGTAGAACAGCTGCTACCATTATTTTTTGGTTTTACTGTAATTTTTCATCTCTTTTCTTTGTTGTAGTATCTATAGCTGCATTAATTTCTGGATTAACATTTGGGGAGCAAAAACTTATGAAATTTTGGGGATGTGGGTATTTTTTTTAATAATTCCTCTCTATCATCACTATTAAGTCCCTTTTTTATTATTTGTTCCCACCTGCTCACTAAATCTTTATGAATGTCTTCATAAACGTCACTGTCAGCTGCCTGCTTGGGCCCTAATACTTCAAGTATTTCCCCACTGAGAGAAGGAACTTCTATAAATTCAATTCCCAAGGGATCAGTTGGCTCTGAGTTTTTTTTCTGAAAAAATACACATATTTTAATATTTATGTCGCATAACACATATATTTATTATTTTGTAAGAAAAACATCTAGTTTATTTGTTTCTAGGAACAGTTTCCTATGAAAATTACATATTTACTGGAATCAAGCCCTTATGAGTTCAGTAACGGGTCTGCATCTGGTTTCTTGGTTTTTAGGAACATTTTCCTCTACAAATACATATTTACTGGATTCAAATCCAGATGAGCTTAGTGACGGGTCCACATAGACCCTTAGGCCGTGCCCTTATGAGCATAGTTTTATTAAGAATTGTTTCTATAAACTCCTAGGCCTTAAGTCATATTATTAGCCTTGTTTCTGATCTAAAACAAACTTCGTTATTATAAACCTACCATTTTCCTTCTAGGAATCATTATAAGCGTCCTCTTCCGAGGATCTTTCATCTTCTGACGCCGGCACATGTCGGCGTTTTTTACCGTCATGACCATGGCGTTATTTGTTCAATTTTTGTTTGCGCAATTTATTTTTGAGTTTTAACAACTCGAGCTCATTGGATGAGCTTGATGATTTCTTAAATATCCCATTATTTATCCAATTTTTTCGGGCAGAATGCAAAAATTAACGAAGTAGCTTCGCACGAAAATAAAGAATGACATTACAGGCTAGAGTTGAGAGCGGCGTAGGAGGAGTAGAGAGGGCAGAGTTGGTACAGTTATATAAGGCGCTTTTTAGAGTGTTAACTCTTTAAAATACGTGGTAGCTGAGCGGGGAAAGGAGGTACTACCTATGATCATTAAGAACAAGGCGTGGAATATAATTATCCTGAAAACTCTAGAGTACACAAATACTTGATTGTGACTAGAAAAAATCTGCGCCAGATATAAGGGCCTTCTGATTGGCTATTGCATAGCATAGGTTTGTCAGAATCTGCTTCTCAAAGGGATGCGAACAAGGCAGATGATATACAAGAGAAGCACCACTGATAGTTCGCCAATTTTCGGAAAATTAGTCGCTAAAAATTGGTCGTTAAGTTCACACCGGTTAGATTGAATGCATCTAGGATGCAACCAAAGCTTACTTGTTCTATATTTTTCTTTCCCATTAGCATTCCTTCTACCAATTTCCATATATTATTTTTAGCGAATTCAAGAATAAAATTAACGTTGTAGACAACGATGCTGAAGACAGTTTACAATACGATGCTTTTGATATATACCAGTTCAATAAAACTCGTTCTGGAAACTTATCAGATGAAGATTTTGTAACGATAGTCAATCCTTTACTAGTGGTAAGTTACTTAATAAAATTGTACATAATATTAAATTAATACCGATAATTTTGATAAACAGTTTCTCCCCTATATAGTGAATATTTGCTTTTAATTCTATACAATAATTAACATATATTTTTAGCAAATATAAGATGGATTTCACTATATTCTTGCTATTTTTAATAAAATATTAACGTTGCAACCAGAAAAAATAAAGTGAAGAAGTTTCCATCATCTCTTAAGTGAATAATACTGAATGCTATCGCTATTATACCCTAATTGCCCTAGTATTGCCTTGCCTTGCCTAGTATTGTATGGTAAAATGATTTAATTTAAAGAAGAGGATCTTAAAATTAGTAAAAAATAGAAATATGATCAATTATAAATAAATTACATGGAATATTTATGCAGTTATACCACTAATTTAACTAATTTTAGTAAAAATGTAATAAAGAATCTTAAATTTTAATCACTACAAATTGTGGAATCCATAATTAGAACTAAAAAGTGTCAGAAAAGTGTTAATTTATCAGTAAATTGATATGGAGGTATTCTTTATGATCTTAAATAAACAATTTCTTTTAGCACCCAACTTACGTCATTACTAATATATCATACATTCTATTTTGTGACGTACATTTATACCTATACATTTCAGAGCAGCCCCAGTTAACTATATTTATCTTTTGGTGTATAAAATGTAGCATATTCGCGACGTCGTTAAAGGGATATTGAAATTTACTCATTCAGAATATTTGGAGCATCGATTAAATGTATGAATAAATATATATTATAAGGAAATATCACACTTGATGCTCTTCGATGGATGCTTCAAAGAAATATTTTATCTTGTCAGCAGGACTGAATATTCAATTTCCTTAATGTAATAGCTTATTACATTATTTTGTTTATATTAACAGTTAATGAACCTTTTAAGTTTGTAAGGAGTTTGTTATTTATTGTCACGTCCTGTCAAAAAAATGTATATTAAATTGTTATTTCGATCTAAATATATATAGATTTAATTTAGATAAATATAATCTTTTCTTGATCGAAAGAAAAGAAAATATTGGTCTTTTATAGATTTTACTGAACTAAAAAATTAAATCTACCGTTCTTCAATTATCAGTTCAATAAAAATAAATTAAATTCAAAAAGAAAGACTTGTATTTCATGCAAAACTTTTTAATTAATAAATGCAAAGCGCTTTCGGCATTGCTTATCAGTGCTTATCTACAAAAATTATGGATGTAAACTTATATAAATATGTGTAAAAATAAAATCTTAGTAAGACTTTTAAGTCAAAAGTTAAAATTATATATATATATATATATATATATATATATATATATATATATATATATATATATATATATGTATGTCAAAGGGCAGTTTTAAGGACATTTTGCAACCCCTATATACAAACGTATACATTTGTATACATTTGATATACAAACGTATATATCCAACTTTTAGTTCAAAATATGCCAAAATAACTTATATATAGGTATTTAATATGGATTGGCATATATGGGAACATTGACTTTTATCATATACAGTGTGTCTTAAAACTAAAAATGGAGAAATTACTCGATGACTAATGTCATATTTGAATTCACTGACAAACAAAATTCTTTTCTGAAATATTTTGTAAAAATCCTGTTTTACATTTTTATTTTAAATACCATTTCAAATAAAATTTCTTCATTATTTATAGTTTGCTAGAGTCGTCCAAAGTATTTTAATACTGGTTAAAAAATCCAAAAATTATACAGGTATTTAAATATGGATATACATGTACGGCAACATAAACTTGGAACAACTGTGGGAAAAAGTACGCAAAAAATAATGTCAGATTTAAATATTAACCTAAGAAACTATTTTTGCAATTGTTTCTAAAAATAGATTTGCACTTGTATTTTTTATATTTTAAATAGTATTTAAAAAATATTTTCATTGTTTTGCTAAAGGGGTCCAATGTATTTAAAATGCTGGGTTTTTGGGGCAAAAAAACCAAATCTGAATTTTGTTCTTGTCCACCGCAACCTTTTTAGACCTATTGTGGGACTTCGTTACAGAGAATGTCTTCTTAGCTTAGTCTTTATTAATAAAACATAAGCTTTAGAAACGTCAATCTAGCCTTCACACTGACACGTGAAATGGATTATCTTTTATCTTCTTCTTCACCGAACCTGCACAATGTTGCTTTATCTGCTTGATTGATGACATTCTGTATAATATCAAATTCAATGTTTTAATATGCTAATACATATACAGGGTGGGCCAATTATCTCCCCGCAGAGTGTAGCGCCGAAACTAATTGAGATATCAAAATAAAACAAAAACCGATTTGTTTTGTTCAAAAATCCCCATAACTAGAAAATAGTTTCATTTATACAGAGTACTCAAAGTTCAAGTAGCAAAACATTTTGATAAAATTTTTATTTAAAACGCCCTGTATACTTTTACATTTTTAGATTTCTATTTCAATGACCTTTACAAAAATGCATTGTTTTTGTAAACATGATGCTTTATTGCCATGTTATTCAAATTTTTCTTAAATTTACTGAAAAATCGGTACATTTTAAAAATATTCAAAAACTCTTTTATTCTACAAATTCGAAAAATAAGTTTTGGCTAAAGTTAGTTGAGACCCGAACTTCTTATCTCGTCCATATTTCATAATTATTTTAATATGTACATATTATAAGATATTATATTTTCGAAAATTAAACTATAAAAAACTTCGTTCTTTTAAATGAAACGGTCTGTATATTATTCAATATTTGGAAAGCCTATTACACAAGCTTTCCACGGATGCAACATCTTATAGGTTTAAATTAAATCATTTTGAAATTTTTAAACGCAAAGTTCATTAAGCGGGAATAAAAACTAATTTACAAATTTACCGAAAAAATTGTATTTACTTATTTTTAAACTACATTAAATGCTCAAAATGTCTTCCATTTTGTTCAATGCATTTCCTTAGCCTTTTTTTTAAAGAACTACGGACGTTTGTAAGCATTTCAGGAGTGATTGTTGTGAAGGCCTCTTGAATGCGTTCTTTCATTTTTTTTTTGTGGTGTCCTGTTCACTGTAAAACTTCTCCTTAATATGACTCCACAAAAAGAAATCCAAGGAAGTGAAATCAGGGGACCTAGCAGGTCAAGATATGGGACCTGCTCGTCCTATCTAATGATTTCCAAATTGAGCCAATTACGGACGTTTAACTGGTAAGGTGGTGTAGCACCATCTAATTGAAACCACAATAAATTGGCACACGCTGTATAAGTCCTGCAAAATAATTTTCTAAAAATGATAGAAATATTGCGTCATTTACAGTTCCATTAAAAAAATAAGTACCTATACATAGTTATCTATTATGCCCGCCCAAACATTCAGTGACCACCGGACTTAAGACGTTGTTCTAAAAAGATGCTTGTTTGTGTCTGGGTAATAATGAAAATTGTGTCTATATATACAGAACTATTTTTAGCTTTATTTTATCACAATAGAAATTTTGTTAAAAAAATTGCGTTCTGTATTTATCTTATTAATTAGCCAACTACAATTTGCCACTCTCTGTGCGAAATCTTGAGGTAATAATTTTTGATATAGCTGAATGTGATATGGATGAAACTTATTTTTCTTAATAATGCGCCTTATGGTAGTCATCAAAATATTTAAATGGTTACTTAGTTTCCTCTTACTTGTATATGGATTTTCAATAATACTGGTGATTGGCCAAAATTTTATTTTCTTTACTGTAGCAGTTCGATGGTGTTTTTCATAATCCACATTACCGCTTCTTTCTCTATACTTGTTTTAAGACATACTGTATATTATCAAAGTCAAAGTCCCCATATATGCCAATACATATTTTAATACCTAAATATTACTTCAGATTTGGATTTTTTAACCACAAAAAAAAAAAAATATGATTTATTTTACGATTCTGGTAAGCTCCATTAATATTCTGTTTTAAATGCCATTTAAACTTCAAAAACTACAAGGGCAAATAAATGTTTATAAAATATTGCAAAAAAAGCGTTTTCGAGGTCAGTGAACTCAAATCTAAAGTTATTTTTGTCGTATTCTTTCCTATAGTAGTTTTAAGACACACTGTATATTATCAAAGTTAATGTCCTCATATATGCCAATCCATGTTCAACTACCTAGATTATATTTTAGATTTCGTGTTTGAAATCCCAAAATCATAGGACTAAGAAACATTGGACGACTCTAAAGCAAACTGTGTAGACATTTTTTGTATTAAATGCCCTATAAAGAATAAAAAGTGCGAGTTTAAATGGATTTTTAAAACATTTTGCTATAAAGCGTGTTCGATGCCAGTTAAACTCAAATCTGACATTTTTTTGCGTAAGTTTTCCTATACTTGTTTTAAGACATACTGTATATTATCAAAGTCAAAGTCCCCAATATGCCAATCCATGTTTAAATACTTATGTATTACTTCAGATTTTGTTTGCCCAAAAACTCAGAAATATGAAATATTAGACGATTCTGGCAATATCAGTTAACATTTGGTTTTAAATGCCATTTAAACTTCAAAATGTACGAGGGCAAATTATTAATGTTTATAAAATATTAAAAAAAAAGCGTTTTCGAGACTAGTGAACTTAAATCTAAAGTTATTTTTGTCGTTTTCTTTCCTATAGTTGTTTTAAGACACACTGTATATTATCAAAGTTAATGTCCTCATATATGCCAATCCATTTAAATACCTAGATAATATTTAATATTTCGTGTTTGAAATCCCAAAATCATAGGACTAAGAATCATTGGACGACTCTAAAGCAAACTATGTAGACATTGTTTGTATTAAATGCCTTTAAAACTATAATAAGTGCGAGTGCAAATGGATTTTTATAAAAAATTGCTCCAAAGCGTTTTGGAGGCCAGTTAAACTCAAATCTTACATTTTTTTTTCCCTATACTTGTTTTAAGAGACAATGTTTATTATCAAAGTCAAAGTCCCCATATATGCCAATACATAT